TGCGCAGTACCAGCAACTCTCTCATCGGCCTCACGGAGGGCATCCATATCCCTGTAAATCACTTGTTTGCTGTCTCTTTCATCCACTCTACCATAGCTGATACACAAAAGACTTATTGTAATTCGAAAAACGCATTTCGAGAACTATAAAAACCAATTAAACATAAATTCATCCATTAATTCGCATAATTAAAATGCGACAGAGAGAGACAGAGTGGTCCAAACCACTGTGTACATATCAGCACATCGAGAATCTCGGGCTAATTCTGCGGTATTTTTGTAACAATAAAAGTTAATAAAGACCAGATACAACGGCGGCGTTTAAAATGACCTGAGTAGAGAATTTTCTGCGGTCTTTCGCTGCATATAAGATTTTGCCAGGGTTGCCTCTCGCAACATACCATACGTACGCTCAAGCAGCAGACGTGTTCGTTCGCCGGTTTCTGATAACATTTTATCGGACAAAACGCTAGCTGTGCTTAAGCCATCGCCCTCTGAGAACACCTGCAACGAAGAGCAACTGTTCACTGTGGTACATAAGCAAACTGTGTTATCTGCTTTTCATATACATTCTGAAAACAGCGCTACCAATAAAAAAAAAACATGCAAACACAGCAAAAACTGAATCGGACAACATAACTTACATGAATTATCGGCACCAAAGATGGCATAGAACAACGCAAAAATTTGTAGTGACGCACAGCAAAGCCAGGCAATAATGAACAGACCGGGTCGTGAACACTTGCTCCGTTAAGGACAAAAATAAGCTTGGCCAAATCTTTAAAAAAAAAAAAAACATCATTAAGAAAAAATGGTTTACTGCAAAAATAAGTTAAAAACGAACTCATATTCCCAAAAAAACTCCAAAAAATCGCACTTGAAGTTAAAATCGACCCAAGGAATTGTTCCAACTTACAGAACTGGTTATCCAGTGATGGCTCCTTGATATCGAAAGTAGGATGCAGTTCGAGAAGTTCATCGCACAATAGCTGCACAAAAGTGGCGTGTCTCCGGCCCAGCTCACTCATACATCTGAAAAAAAAAAGCAAACTCTACGTGAGATGAAAACAGCACCCCATTCAGAAAATAACTAATTAAAAATTTTACTCGAGAAAATGTACAGAAATATCATGTGGAAGCAAAAATAGGCACAAAGCAAAAGTCGAAGAGTGATAAGTTCTGCCAAAAATTAGAAAGTATTTGCATTTGTGACCAAAAAATCAGATTCACGAGAAGCAAAATCTGATCTGATTTCGCAGGGTCGTCAGCTAATATTACATTTGCAAGTTTGCTAAAACTATCATTATGGAGCTTATTGTGTTATTATAGAAAATAGCGAGAACTGTCTGTGTCAATGCGTTTGAAATGGGGTCAAAATCGCCTAATCTGAAAAAAGTATACTTAAAAATAGAATGTCGATCAATCGGGAATCTCTTCATGCACTTAAGCAACGCTTCAACGGTATAACGAAGACAGTCAGGAGTGCCCAACGTCGATTTCGACAGCAACACACGAAGCGCCTCGCGGCTGTCCGGAAGAGCATCCTTAAAAATTATCCTCTTAAAAAGAACAAATGAAAATTCGCAGAATATAAAGTTCAAACAAATTAAGCCAGAAAGGCAGACTGTACTCAAAAAATTACAAATCCAACGGCCTTTTTATGCGTTTTTTGCAGCAATGCAATGCGAAAAACGCATATTGACGAGGGGCTGCCTGTGTGTGTGTCTGTGTGTGCGTCTGTAACTAGTTTTCAACTCGAGATCCACAAAAGCTGCAAGGCTGAAAATTTGGTGACTTAATCTACACATATGTGCGGGCTCGTGTCCTCAAAATGGACGCTCAGGTCCGCGTGATTCTCACGCAGGGGCACGTGAAAATTCTTTTGGCGGGAAAGCGTTTTCGAGAACAGCCCATGCTAGGGGGCTGGAACTTCACAGAGTTGTTCTTTGGCCGGGTCTAATCCAAAGATTTCAAATTCAGCCTTCACGCACCCTCAGGACTCACGTACGCGCATGTCAAAGTTTAAATTGGCATCATGCAACTCCAGATTTAAGCTGACCAATAAGTTGCAGGGAGCAGCAATTTTGTAGCGCTACTTGCTGCCCACTGTTGCGTTTGCGAAAGTAAATTACTTGTCAGCTCTTCTGCAGCTCAAGTATGAACACGTGAAAATTTCACTCATGCGCTTTTGTAACTTTAGAATTGAACCAGCCAGAGGCCCTGAACTTTCTGAGCATAACCGATGGTGCCTTTTGACCAGATGTACGCAAAAACGACTTAAACATCACTTTCACGTCTCACGTACGCTTCACATGCACACACGTAAAATTTGACGTAATTCTGCAACCAGAGCAGCTGAAGTGTTGAAAATTTCTGAGCGTTACCTAGGGCAGTGTTTGAGCAACCGCAAGTGAAGAAAGCAGTCACATTGTCACTCACGTACGAATACGTGAAATTTGACGCAACTCTGCAACCAAAGCAGCTAGAGTGCTGGATTTTCTGGGCATGGATTGGGAGTCATTGTAATACTTTCTAACAGTCGTGGTGGCCAGTTCCAGTTCTTTTAGCAAGAAGCATCTGCCAGGAAGAACGTGCTACTGAAGAAAAAACCTTCAAGGACACTTTACGACCAGTCCCAAAGTGACTATTTATTTTTCGACTGATTAAAATAAGGAATAAGACGGTAAGAAAAACGAGCTCAAGTCGACCGAGGGTAACTACTTCCGTTCATATGGCGAAAATTTCCTTTGGGATAGACGGAAAACCCAAAATCTCGACGTGAAAATGTATTACGGCTTGTGGATTTTATTACAGATCTACCATTTTTACTTTGTTCTTTTTCTCAAACTACTTAGTTTAAAGTGTCAAATTCTTTTGTGTCATTTAATTAGAACAAATATCATGTCGGAGGTACTACTCATGAGTAACTCAGTAAATATGAACAAAACTCATTATCATCCTGTAATGGAGTTTTTCGCCAGATCTTGCCGCATCAACTGATGGGTGTGCTGCACTGAATGAAAAAACAATGGGATTTAGAACACTCAGGATTTAGATAAGCTGTAAATTCATGGTTATCCAGCTATGTATGTGGCAACTTTTCCAATTACTTTAATTCCTGTCACATTAACTGATGATCAGCCCTCTCGAAGCCTCGCAATTCGATTCTTCCCTCCAAAAAATAAATAAAAATAAAAAATAAAATCGAGGAAATATGAAAATACGTCCCATTCAAAAAGCAAAAAAATTAAAAATTTTGCTTGAAAAAATGTAGAGAAACATCAAACGGAAACAAAAAACATGCATTAACCAGCATAATACGGTTCTCCCGACTTAAAAACAACTGGACATAATCCGTTTGATGCTTTGCAACAAATCAAGGAAGATTGGAGCGAATGTGCTCCACAACTAAGCATGCGTGTCAATTCAAATACCCTCAAAAGCACTAAATTTCACAGTATTAAATATCTGAGTAAAGAAATAAAAAAAAACATTTAACTTACATCAAGAACCGTCAAAATAGTATCAAGCTGTTCTTTCTGCAAAACGCCATGGACGACAAGAGGTGTCAATGCTCGTACGGCATCTAATCGAACCTGAAACAGCACAGCCCCATTTTTTTCTAAAATGAATAACTGATAGGAGAACTTTTAAGATGGAAAAAAAACTTAAGAAAAAAAAGTCAAGAAATTCAAAGCAGAGAATTAATGTAAAAAATAATCAGCAGACTTGCTCAATTTCATCGTTAAACATATCAGCCAGATGGTCCAGAGCAGCTGCAGCCAAAAATGGACGATCAGCTGCCAATCGGCCAAGCGAATAAACGCCAGCCTGACGAACAACTGAAAAAAATTCGAAAATACACGCTTATCTCATACGAAAAACACAGTTTTTACACCTCTCCCGGCCTTTCGTTACTGTATTATTCTACCAATATAAATACTTAAACCTTAATTATACTGCACTTTTTTTTGGTAATTATTTGCTCCTGATGTTGTAACTTTTTAAATACTTGTGACGATGTATGCAGCTGTATTTTATCAATACAACAACTGTCTATAGAACGCTGGTTACATACAGCAGTAATGCTACGACGTATCCAACCTGATTAAACAAACTCAGGAAAGTCCCTTCCGTTTCGAATATTATTTTCAGATAAAAAATTACAAAATCAACCAAATTAATAAATGGCCAGCGTACCGACTGCCGGTGCAAAGATGCGTTTTTTGTAATGTTTCCCGCAATTTTTGTCGCTACCGGCAACAGTTTTTCAGGCAAAGCCTTCTAGCTAAGAAAACTGAGACTGGCCATCAGAGCTGACTGAAAATATTCCTCTAAAATTTCAGCTTTCTAGCTTTCCAGGTCTCCGAGTTAGCAACTCACCCGAAAAAAAAAAAACTTTCATGAGCCCTTCGTGGGAACCACACATACCCAGGGGACTGGGTATGAACTCATTAATATCTACTTGGACGGGGAACATCCCTTAAAATGCCAGTCTTCTAGATTTTCAAGTTCCTGAGTTAGCAGCTTACTTGAAAACAACTTTGGCGGGCTCATATGTGAAC